TACTCCTCAAATTTTTAGCTTCTCAGGTGCTGCCTCAGGGCGCACATAAAATAGTGCCAGAACTACACGGTGAATGTTATACAGTACTGTAGTCCAATTTCTCTCAAACCTGCCTAGCAGACTTTGCGACGTGAGATCGAGCGTTATCGTATAAAAGAACAGCACTAAGCCTTTTTGGACGCTTCTCTCGCGGTGCTCGGCCAACCTCCGGACCTGATATTCGCAGAAGTCGGTACTGATTCTCTGATTGTTGTCAAGCAGCTCCCAAAACAGTATGTCTTGTCAATTTCAGAAGTCTGAGAGCATAATCATTCGATTGAAACTTGGACTTTGGTTGAGCTAGTAGATTTCCGCTGCGATGCAACCTGCAAGCGTAACACTTCTTGTTTTCTTAGGAGCCCCAGGACTCATCTCCATTGAAGATAGACTCAAGAAATTCCTTCCTGTGTGCCCACACCAAAAGATTTTCGCCGATGCTCACGCGTGTAGCGCGGTGGCGATCGGTCAATTCATATTATCATTTAGAACATCACTTTGCAGTAGCCAACTTCATTCAAATGGCGAGGGGTGGTACGACTGTATGCAAGAATCACAAAAGCACTTTCCAGCATTCCTGGGGCCTTCCAGATTAGACCGATCTTAAATAGAAAAACAGAGTAAAACGCCAGCGCGAAAGAAATTATGGGGCAACAATTTACAAATGGGAGCGGGAAGAAGTTCTCAAGTGGCTAGTGATGCTTGGTGCTAGGTTGATCCTTCCATTTAACAATCTACGGCAAGTAATCAGCGATCATCCAACCTGGCTGTCTCCAAGTTTCCAAGGAGATCTACCCGGTCATCATTCTATGCCGCTCAGAAAGAAATGAAGTCCTCAAGCATGCGACGTATGCGAGGGACGAATCGAATATTAAAGTGGGTTCTTACGATAAGATTGGAAGACGAGTCGTATAAGAGCCTGCATGTGTAATTTTCACACGCTTACAATTTTCAGTCTTTAGTTGAATATTTTCTCTTATTTTGCTCATAATCTTTCGCAGCAAGCTATCGACATCGCGAATGTATTCAATTACTATTCACAATCAAACGAATCGTTTACAACAGTGAGATATTATTCAGCTTTCCTTCTCTTAGAACACAAGAGTAATACACCAAAAGCATATAAGAGCATAGAGGAGTTCATGAAGCACATAAAATAAAGGAGAAAAGTCGAAATCTTACAAAACCGCGGGAAAAAATTGGTACATTGAAGAGAAATCGTAATGGAAATGAGCGGTTCTAGCGGACGACGCTTCCCCGCGCTGCCTGCACGCGTGCGCGTCTGTCTCGAGCAGTAAAAGTGAATAGAGTGTAATCTTCTACGCGTTTCATAAATAACTCTTCGACTCCGGTATGGATGAAACGCGGGTTCGATTCCCGCTTGAGGCCGTGTATTTGCTGACCACTCAATACTCTTAGGTGTACATGACACCCACGGACCTCCCTCTTTGAGGAATCCCACCCCCCCCCCCCCCCAGTTAGTCAGCGACGGCACTTAACGAGTCTTCAGGTGGTGGATAGGAGAATAAACGCGAACCAAAAGCGACCGTGTCTTCCCAAAGACGCAGGTGGATTCAGGGGATGAGCTCCCAGCTTCTACAGCGACGACTTGACAAAAACTCTATCTCTACGAGTCAAGTCGGCCAAAAGCCTGCATTCAAGCTGCTGGGAAGTACATGAGAGGTGGTTAAGAATCTCTTCCAACAAATAAGCTCCTCCCCCTCTTCCGAGAGAGACTGGCAAGCTGCTCGTGAGTACCCAGCCCCAACGTTTAGAGCCTGGCAAGCTGTACGTTGGGTATCAAAATACCAAAAACAGTAACAAATACGGACCTCATTCCTCTGACCCGAAAGAGTCCCTGATGCGGCAGCGCCAGGTGAGACGAGTACGGAGAGGCTGCTAAAATCTCAGGGCCAAACTAGGCTGCCAAGATCGAAACGGACCAAAATGACGATCTGTAAATACAATGCAAGAGCCCGTGCTCACGAATCCGCTGCAAAAGATCTATTGATTCAAGAAAGAAGAATAAGGCATGGCGTCATTGGCCTGGCTTAGACGAGAAGGCGAAATCATTTTTTACGCTGTTTATGACACCGGAAAAACACTGTTCCTTGGAGCATGCGATTGCAGAGGTGACGGCGGCATTGGCGTCCTTGTCAAGTCGAATTTGACAGTGAACATCGATTCGCTAAAACAACTAACAACCCGTATCGGGCGATTACGGTTGAAACGATGTGGTTCTATGCCGGCCTTGACCATCTTCGTTGCTTACGCAAAAATATCAAGCTACGAGGAAGACGAAGCGTTTTATTTGGATTTTGGAAACTTTGTTAGAAAAGACCATACTTTATTCAAGGTTATTGTTGCAGCTTTCAACGACAAAATTGAACCTAGGAGGTCTGAAGAACCACTAATTGGGACCCATGGACTAGAATAGAATGAACAGGGTGAGAGGCTATTTGAGTTTATCATGACGACCAAAACCATCTATGATAACTAACAATTCCAAAAGCCTCACTATCATCAATGAACGTGAGAGTCTGTCAATGGAGAGCACCATAACGAAATAAACCACATCATAATAAATCGAAGGTTTTGCTTGACCGATGTCGCTCCTGTTCCTAAGTTCTACAGCGGATCAGACCATCGCTTCCACCGCGTAACGTTACATTTTTAGCGGAAACGAGAGAGTTGCTAAATTCAAACGAAGGGAATCCCTCAACTACTGCAAACTTTGATGTAAATCATTAGTTGGCCTTTGAGGATACCGCTGTCTGCAACATCGAAGAAGAACACGACGGCCTCGTTGAATATCTTCACAATGGCGCTATGAAAGCCGAGAGCCTTAAGGTAACGTAGAGACGCTTGTCTGCGCAGACACTCGAGCTGATACGTTAACGTGAAACGCACGGGCTACAAGCAACCGAAACCTTACTTCCGACTTGCAAAAGCTGCAGAGAAGCGATAAAAGAAGACGTCAAGGAGAGAAGAGCAGCAGTTATGGCAGAAGCTGCAGAGGCTGGGAAGAGCATTAGCAAAGCCCAGCGAGGATTCGCCGACTATAAGACCAAGCTGATTGCACTCCGATACCCTGACGGGACACTTACAGCTTAGAGAAGGGTTATGGAGAAAATCATCCAACAGCACTACGCGGATCTCTTCGCTAGCCATGTCCTCTTACCGTCATATAAATTTAAAGAGGACGAATATGTCATTCCATCGGTCCTTCCTTTTGAAATCCGACATGCTATATCGTCGGTGAAGAACAGAACGATACCCGGTCCAGACAGTATTAGACCAGAATTACTGAAGAACCTGCGCCAATTCTCATCAACACCCTGGCTCGGCTCTTCACTCGTTACCTGTTAGAATGCAAGGTCCCTATCAATGGAAAACCAACAAGGCCGTATTGTTGTTCAAAAAGGGAGGCCTTCACGACATAGGCAATTATCGCCCAATCTCCTTGCTGTCCGTTGTCTATGAACACTTTACTCAAGTCATCCTAAACAGGATTGACAGAACACTGGACGAAGGATAGCCATGCGAACAAGCAGGGTTCCGAAAAGAATTCAGTACCATAGATCACATCCACACGATTACAAGAGTCATTGAAATTTCATGAGAGCACAAACAACCACTCTGTCTCACTTTCATCGATCTGAAGAAAGTCTTTGAATTAGTGTAAACAGAAGCGATTATAAAGGCTCTGGATAACCAGGGCGTCCTTACTCGGTACATAATGATCCTTCGTGAGCTTCATAAAGATTTCACAACCAGAATATCTCCATTCTACAATAACATCACCATTGACGTAAGAAGAGGGGGTCGACAAGACGATACAAATTAGCCAAATCTATTCATTGCCACCCTACAAAACGTCATTCGAGCATTAGAATGGGACGAAATGGGATTGAAAATTGACGGCCGACAATTAAACCATTTTCGTTTTGCCGTTGCCATCTTCCTCATAACACAGACCATTAGCCAACCGGAACGAATGTTGACCGATTTCGATAACGCTTGTGGAAAGATTGGTCTTCAACTAAATTTAAGGAAAACGATGTTCATGAAGAACGGATGGGTTCTGAATGCTCCATTCACGCTCAAGGGAATGACAATCTCCGAATGCTCCAGTTATGTCTATCTAGATCGTGAAATTGACATGATGAACGATCTAGCTCCAGAGTTGAGCTGGAAGAAAGGAGCGGCTTGAGGAACGTTTAAGAGCATAGAGGACGTAGTAAAGAGGACGAAGAACATCTGACTCCGTGCTCACCTTTTCCACTTGATAGTTATCCCTCCCCTAACGTGTGCAGCAGAACCTGGTTTCTACTAAAATAGGATGAAAGATTACTTGGCGTTATTGAACGCGCAGTCGAAAGGTAGATGCTAGGAGTATACCGTATCTCGCAAATAAGAGAGCGGTTCCAAAGTTCCGATCTACATCAGCGGTCGAATATCAAAGACGCCTTTCTACACGCCAAGGATATGTTAAATAAGGTGGGCCGGATACGTGATGCTCTTCAACGACAACCGATGGACGACAGCTGCTACCGACTGGATTCCTCGGGACATCAAGAGCTCCAAAGGAAGACCACCGACCCGTTGGTGCGATCTCTTCACGAAAGCTATAAAAGAAAGACATGATGGCTCAACGAATTGCTAGAGCGAAGAGGACCCACTGGGCTATTCTTCCAAGCGATAGGGAAAAATGGAAGTGTTGCTGGTACCCGCTCGAGTCACTCGACGATCAACGGGACGACAGGTGATACAGTGATATATAACACATAATAACACTGGGAAAAATGCAGTAAGAATACAATAAATTTTGAGTATTAGTTATTACAATGTCTGTCAACTTAACTGGGTTTATAAAGCGAAATCGCATACCCGACCAGACATGTCAAATGTTAGTGCCTGATAGACAACATAGAGATGTTGAACATGAATGGTGGCGCAAATGTGTCTTGGTGGTGTAGCGGTAGGGCGCGCGTCCCTGGATACGATGAAAGGCGGGTTCGATTCCCGCCTGAAGCCGCGTTTTCGCTCACCATTGAATTCTCTTAGGAGCTAATGAAGTACTCAGTTTATGACTGCAAACACTAACTACGCAGCATCTCTAGGGCTACAGAGATGTGCGTAATCACATCACTGAGCAGAAAAGAGTTCTACATCAAACATTTCTAGCACCTGTTTTTTTAGCATGAATGGAGCATGAAAGGAGCATTCCTCAACTAACATCTTTTTAGAAATGATTTTATTTGACCGCCACTTCGGTGTTATGATGGTACAATACACTCAATAGCGTGGAGTGCTGTGCAAAGATGTTTGCTTCGGCCAACATCTTTTCATAGCACTACTTCGGCAACGGCCTTCACCTGGACGCTTGTCGAGTACGCTACGAGTCGTCGTTGAAGAAGAATCGCCTACTGAGTAACTGACATGAATCGCTTCTTTGAGGTCGTTAAATATTGATTGTTCTTTGTAGTCGCAGTACATTCTATGAGCACTCAACAACAGCATGTTTGTGACGAAACTGAAGAGGATGCTCATAAACCTAAGAAATTGAATAGCAGATTGAGCTAAGAAGTAGCAAAATACACGCAGCATGTTTTAATCCTTTTAAGGAATGGAGTGTAGGGAGCCGTCTGATCCATGAAATTTATAGACCGCTTATTCAAACTGTAGCTTTCGACGACTATGAACTTCTTCGTGCCCAAATTTACGTCGGAGCCGTATGCTGTCGAAAGAGCCGTACTATATCTCCACTTCTTTCTCGTCACTATCACACAATTCCGATTTTGCACAGATCTCCACTGGCATTTAGAAACGTTGTGATCAATTTTTTGAAGATCAATTCTTCAGAGAGGACATCAACGTCGATCATTAAAAAACGTGATCATAACAAAGACATGGACCACCACACTTAATAACTCTCATGATGGTGATTCAGACGATGGAGCACCATCCATATCAACCATCACCGGCGCAGTGGGTGGCTGATCGAGTAGTGTGAAGGCGCCTAGTTCTAAAACCTTCAATGACAGTTGTGTTGGCCTGCGAAATAAAGCATTCCGCGATGGCCGTTATCCAGTAGACTTCCATAAAGTCTTCATGTATGGTGTTTTGGAACTGCTTGTGAGCAGACAAATGCTTACGGCCATCGAAACCTATAGATTGGAATGAGACGGTCAAACGAAATGAGGCCATTTATTACCTTGTGTCTGAAAATGTCTGTCATCTCACTGCCACAACTGAACGATTTCTGTAGTAGTCCTCCAGATCTTGAGGGAATTTGAATCTCGTCGCATATCATGTCGAAACATGGATTCTATGAGATCATGACCAATCTGCATACAGCTAACATTGACGAAGCTAACGAAGAGGACAAGCTGTATAAAACAAAACGGCTGATGAAAGCAGTGAGTACCAACCGGAAAATTGTGTAAAGGCTAGGAAGTGATACATGCATCGATGAGGCGATGGTACGATTTAGAGAAAGAGCCAAGCTTTGCCAGTACGCTTGTTGCAGAAGGAACGGATTCGGAAGAAAGCTCTCCAAATACTGTGGTGAGAGAGGATACACGTACAATACAACGGTCTACACAGGTGCAGACAAAAATCCCAAATCTGGTGAGCTTTTATCTGAACATGTGATGATGGACTCAATGAACGACATGTTAGATCAAGTACATTCACAGTGACAATTGGTACACCAGTGTTGCCCTAGAGGAAAAACTGTTGCGGAAGAATACATACCTGATCAGAACCTTCTAGAAGAGGAGGAAAGGCATGCTGAAGGAGATCATGCTGCGAAAACCGCGTAAGGGTGAGTGGAGAAAAGTGCAAAATCGGAATGGTGTCATGGTACTTAGGCGCTTTGACAAGAGAGGAATGCAGATACTTTCGACAGCATACGTCTCCGACGTAAACTCGGACGCGAAAACTTTAGAGTTGTCGAAAGTTCTACGCAAGAATAAGAAGTTTGTGGACCTCACAATCCATATGGCAGCCTACTCTCCATTCCCTAGAAGGATAAATGATGGTACATGAATTTGCCAGTTCTCAGCTTCATAACCTGTAATTCCCTTCTTCAGATACATGACCATCCTCTTCAAATTCGTCACTAGCATACTGCTTTTGAGCGGTCATAAAATGTGCTGCGCCAGCAAAGAACGATCAAATTCAAGGAGTTCAGAGAGGCGTTTTATGTTTGTTATCAAGGAGATGATTCTCTTTGAAAGACGACGAGCAGCGCCCTCGAAAAGGTTCCACGTGAAGACCTTCGCCGATGAGAGCGCTATTAGAACGTTTCGGCTAAAGAATGCTTTCTTATGCTTGATATCATGCAAAAAAAGCAACTCCTAGATGTGGATGTTAAGCGTTTTTCTGCTCAGAGTATTATAACCCGCAAATCTCTGTAGTCCTAGCGATGTTACGTATTTGCTGTTTCAAGACAAGAAATGGATATTTCAAAAGCATTTATTGTATTTGTATTGCATTGAATGTATTATCGTATTTCTGATAATTACTTTATGAGCTATGCATGTGGTCTGATATGAGCACTTGTACAGCCCAATACACTTGCTTCGGTCTTGGCAGCCTCGTCAGATGGGGAGGGGAAAACTTAATTGTTAGACGGCGACATATTTATGAACAGATCTTACTCGCCGGACAGAGACTTTCATAGAAGTGTTAGTAATAATCCGAAAGCTCAGAACTCTAGCTAGAGTCATTATTGATCGGTTTTTCAAAACCTTCTTCTACAATGCTGTAAAATCCAAAATAAAGTTATGTTTCACAGCCGCCGTAGATACCGTAGTAAAATTCATTTTCTCCCAAATCTGGCTAGTAGACTTTACAACGTGAGATCGAGCGTCATCGTAGGAAAAAACAACATTGAAGCTTCTTGGACGCTTTTCTCGCAGTGCTGCTGTCAACTTCCGGAGTTGCTCTGCGTAGACGTTGGTACTGATTCTCTGCTTATTTTCAAGCAGCTCCCAAAACAGTATGCCTTGCCAATCTCAAAAAACTGAGGGAATAATCTTTTGAGCGGAAATTGGACCTTGGCTGAGCTGGTGAATTTTTGCCGCGATGCAGTCAGTAAGCGTAACCCTTCATGCTCTCGTAGAAGCCCCAGGATTCATCTCCATTGATAATCAAATTAACAAATTCTGCTTGTGCACCCATGTAAGATTTCGCAAATGTTCACGCGTGTGGCGCGTTGGCAGTCGGACAACTCATCGTATCCATCAAGATATCACCTTCCAGTAGCCTACTTCATTTAGATGTGTAGCTATGGTGCTACGGCCGCATCGAACTATTGCAAAAGGGTTCTCTAGTATGGCACAGCCTTCTAGGAATAAATCTATCTCCAAATAGGAAAAAAATGGTAAAATACTATTGCGAAGGAAACTATGGGGGCACCAAATATATATGAGGACTGGGAAGGGGTTCTCGAATGGCCAGTGATGCTTGGTGTGGGGTTAATCCCTCCACCTAACACTTTACTGCTACTAATCAGCGATCGTCTTGACATTTTTAATATTGCGAGAAGATCTACACTGTCATCATTCTAGGCCGTCTAGAAAGAAGAGAAGTTTTCACGCATGCCATGGGGAATCGAATTCGAAAAGTGGGTTTCTCAGAATAAGAGTGATCGTGATATTTCTCAGCAATCTGTCGACACTATGAATATATTCAATTTACTATTCACAATAAAGCAAATCGATTACAGCAGTGAGATATTGCTCAGCTTCTTTTTCCTTAGAACACAACAGTAATACACTAAAAGCATGTAAGAGTTCAGAATAGTCTATGAATCATATAAAATAAGAGAGAAAAGCCAAAACTTTGCAAAACTGCGAAAAAATCAAAACATGGACAGACCGTACTGAAAGGGAGCGGCACGGAAGAAGACGCTGCCGCCGCGCTGCCAGCGTGCGTAAATGATTATGAATAGGAGCGGACGCAAAGGCAGATGCTGCCGCCACGCTGCCTGCACGCGCGTGCGTTTGTTTAGAGCAGTGAAAGCGAACAGAGCGCTATATCCTGCTCGTATGATTTTGGTTCAAAAGTTTTGGGTGCTAGGGTAGAAAAGCCGCACAATGCTCCACTATAGCAAGTGGAATTTTTGAAATTAAAAGTTGATTGATGAAATCGGAGGTGTCAAGAATTGTTTCAAAGCGATTACAATCAAAATAGGACGAACAAATCTTGGATTATCGATGATTTTACGTAAAGCGCGATATCTGCATGCAGGATAAGGGAGTCGCATAGTCCTTGTGTATAACCTGTTGCCCCTTTGGCCGTTGAGTACTCGGGCAGGTACCAGCAACATCTCCATTTATCCCATCGCATGCAACAGTAGTCCACGGACCTCCCATTTGAGGGATCCCGACCTGTTAGTCGCGAGGGCTCTTGGCGCGTCCTCAAGTGGTGGATAGGGGAATAAACGCAAACCAAAAGCGACCGTGTGCTTCCCAGAGACGCATGTGGATTCAGGGATGAACTCACCTGCTTCTCAGAGCCGACTTGACAAAAACTCTATTTCTACGAGTAAAGTAGGCCAAAAGCCTGCAATCATGCTGCGGAAAGTACATGGAACGCAGTTAGGAGTCTTCTTCAACAAATAAGCTCCTCCCGTTCCTCCGAAAGAGACTAGCAAGTTACTCGTGCGTACCCAGCCCCCACGTTTAGGGTCTAGCAAGCTATACGCTGGGTATCAAAATGCCAAAAACATTAACAAATATGAGCCTCATTCCTCTGACCCCGAAAGAGCCCCTGGTACGGCACCACCAGGTAGGACGAGTACGGAGAGGCTGCTAAAATCTCAGGACCAAGCTATTCTGCCAAGATTGAAAAGGACTAAAACGACGATCTGTACCTACACTGCAAGAACCCTTGCTCACGAATCCGCTGCAAAGGATCTATTGATTCAAGCAAGAAGAATAAGGTACGACGTCATTGACCTGGCTCAGACAAGAAGCGCCATACTTTTCACGCTGTTTATGACACTGGAGAAGAACTGTCCCTTGG